AAACAGAATGGCTTTACATTTAAATTTTTGGAGATTGTAGTTGACAGGAAAGTAGGATGCCGGAAGACTGTTCCACGGTGGAGAAGCGCGAGAAAAGAAACTATTAGAATAGATGTAACCGAAATAGAACGTACGGCTAGATATTCTACCAGTCAACTGATGAGACCTTGTTGCCAATCTAGTAATACGCTGAAATCCATGAACTTAATATACCAAAGAAGGAAGCTCATCAGAATAACTGCCATAAAAATATTTATAGAAAAGGCACAAAGAAGCTACGTTATGACGGTGGAAATTGACTGAAGCCGAGATGCTAGGTTAGGACTGATAACATTGCAGAGCTTTCATTGGATTTTGTCAAAAATCTCGAGATATAAAGCATAAGTAACAGGCCTGATGCTAGAGCAATGCATGGACGAATGCGAGATTTATAAAGGTGCAAGATGGATTCTGGCGAGAAAGATCTTTTGCTATAATATAGTGAAACAGCTTTTCTAGCAACAGCAGACATAGCAATTGATTCAATATAATTGTTCTACTTCATGACAGTGGAAAAGACCGTAAAGGTGAAATAAATTTCTTTCCCGGAGGTTGGCACTAGTCATACTGGCGGAAGATAAAAAGGGTTCTCTAAAATGATTAAAAGCCAACTAGTTTCTTTTTGGAAGAGTTAAAGTTCACAAACCATTTAACAACAAATTGATTTTATTTTCGAGATCAGCAGCCAACTCGACTTCATCAAGCCTATTAATTTACTATTAAAACAAGAGTAAATCGTTGATCCATCAGCACAGATAAGTCAGGAACTAATGACAGGGAGAAGGTCGTTGATAGAGATAATAAATAAAGGACGTCTGAGGATAGAGCACTGATGCATTAACGTAAAAAGATCTAGAAGAGTGTTCGTTCAAGTTAACTTCCATTACGTGATTTGTTAAGAAAGATTGGATCAAATCAAGAATTCGGCTGATGCTTTAGCTTGTGAAGAAGACCAGCATGCCAAACCCTGTCAAACGGCTTCGAGATATATAATGCTACAGCCAGAGCTTCTCTGTTCTTATCTATAGTTTAATAACCTTTGACACATCGGCGAAAGAGGAACGAAAAGCCATATTGTTTGTATAAAAGAAAGACTGTGCGGTGAGATGCTTAATCAATTCGGGGCTGATCGGAGCGTCTATTACTTTACCAAGAAGAGACAGAATACTAATACTTCGATAATTCGAAGGCTCAGAGTGTTCACCCGTGTTCTCAAAGCAAAACTACATAAAAAATATTTCCAAAAGCTGAAAAGTGAACAGGTGCAAGGCATTTGTTGGAAAATTTAGAGAGAACACGAATCTTTTCAGGAGGACATTTTAAGAGAATTATAGAGATACCATCCAAGTCCTTATTAAGGAAAAAAACGAGATTCATCTGACCATTCTGCCACTGATACAAATCCCATTCTTGTTGCTCGCTTTCTAATTGAAGATTGCCCGATATTGTTTAACATAGTCCTTCTGATTAGCCTGTGATAATGCAAATCCATACGCAACAACAATCGATGTAATGTGAATGTGACACATTATTTACCTCAATTTAATTAATAATATATTCATGACACAGTAGTCTGTCTGTTGGGCAGTATTTTGTGGGAAAGCCTCCGTTCATTTTGCATCGATAAATTTTGACCGTTCGTTGTTCTTATCTATAGTTTAATAGACGCTTTTAGCAATAACCTTTGACACATCGGCGAAAGAGGAACGAAATGTCATGTTTGTTTGAAAGAAAGACTGCGCGGTGAGATGCTTAACCAATTCGGAGCTGATGGAGCGTCTATTACTTTACCAAGAAGAGGCAGAATACTAATAGTTCGATAATTCGAAGGCTCAGAGGGTTCACCCGTGTTCGGCGGTTGATTTTGTCTCCTCGGACAACTACCGATAGGTACTCGTCACAATTTAATGTGGGCTCTACAAGCCATAGCTTTTCGAAAATGCTCTGGTTTTATTCAGTTGCTCTATCACTGTCATTTAATTCTTTAACTCTGCCCAAACATGTGATCGTGTGTGCATGTGTGCACGCGCATGTGTGTGTTTCTGTGAACGAGAGAGAGAGAGAGAGAGTATATGTGTGTGTGCGCGCATGTGAGCGAAAGAAAATGCGAGTGTATGTGTGCACTGACGTCTATATAGATATGAGGAAATAAGAATTGATTTATAGTATTTGACCTCTTTCTCCTTCAAAATAATATCAAAATATTATGACAGAAGATAGTTAAACAGTTACAGGAATTCAGTGCCTAAATATTTGGCGTACGAACTGCGTCTCGACTTCCCAGCATCACGAGAAATTAAAACATCTCAAACACACAAAAGATTATAATAGGTTAATTAACATAGTAACTTGGAGTTGTGGTGAACAAACCAACTTTGTAAAGCATTACAACTGGAGCAAATTCGATCATAACGAAGTTCCACACTTGACTGGTGACAGTCGGACACAATAGTGTCCGACTGTCAACACATAATTAATCATACGAGCAGGCAGCTATAAATATATACATGTAGATGTGTATAAGCACATATGAATCTTGTAATCACACACGCGCATATCTCTGTATGTGCGCGTGTGTGCGCGTGCAACTATATATCATCATCAATATAATAATATAATCCACTTAACCTTTCCCGTCTAGGAGTTTAATGGATAGCTTTTTATGTCCAAACTTGGACAGTTTTATGAATGAATTAAAGTTATTTATATACAGATCGTAATTTTTCAATCTTTTTTCTTAGAAAAACCTTATTTTTATAATAATAAAACATTTTTTAAATAATTCTATAAATTATGTTTAACATAAAATTTTGAATTTGTTCCGTTACACTTAATTCATAGATGACATAGAGGTTAAATATTAATCGACTAGTGATTTTTACTTTTGAAGTTTTAATATTTGATTAAATTTTCATATTCAATTCACAAAACCGTCCACACAGAATTGTCCACACAGAATTTGAGGTGATTCATGTACCTGTTCAGAATACGGATTTGTGTAAATTGTGCAGAAGTTACTACAGATGTTGTATTCAGAGTTGTCCTTCTCCTAGACTGGTTGCCAACCAAGCTTAAGATTTCAGGCTGTGCTACTATTTAATCCATAGCTGCTGGGAAGGGATGGATTCTTATCTTTCCTAAAGGTATTTGGGCAAAAGTGAAATATAACGAACTCAACTGGAATTCGAACTCGGTTCGATGATTTCTCGTCGCGTACCGCTATTACACCACCCGCACATCCTACGCGAGATAAAAGTATGAAACCTTTTCCTAACCAAGCCAAAAGAAGATCGAGCTATCGCCACTTCACTGTAAAAAGGAAAAATTGTTGTAAGAGTCTGCCAAAAAGCCATAATGAAATACATACATACAGACAGACAGACAGCTAGCTAGCTAGCTAGCTAGCTAGATAGATAGATAGATATGACCGGACAAATATAGACGCGTTTTTCGTCTATGTGTATGCTTGTAATATGCATATGTTGGTATGAATTTGTACTGATGACATAATGAAGCTGTAGACGAGAATTTTTCGGAATCGGTGGTGGCGACAATTGATTCGTTGATGGCGGTGGCCAATGGTCCGTTAACAGATTTGCCTAATGAAAATAACACATCTGTTCGAACTCTTGATACATTTCCTAATTTTGCGATGCAAATTCAATTTCATGTGAGTTCTTTACTGCGAAGTATTGATTTCTCCATTCACGCCAGTCGATCTCACCAGTCAAGACACCAAACACTCGACCCACAGATTTCCGGCACCATGAACATGCGATCGACCAGAAAAAGAAATAGAGAAAGAAGGAAAAGAAAGGAGACAGAAAGAATTTGTGGAAAGAAAGAAAGATCTGTAAGAGGAAAGAAAGAAAGATCTGTAAGAGGAAAGATGAAGAGGTCAGTGATAAATAATCACAAAGGAAAAGACGAAGAGAAATCCAGAGAGCAAAAACAGAGAGGGAAAGATAAGAAAAGAAATATATTTTTCTGTCTTACATACTCTCTCTATTTCTTTCCTTACCGCTTTACTCTTTCTCTCTCTCTCTTTCTTTTTCAGTTCTTAATCCTCAATCTCTCTTTCTCTACATTACTTTCTTCTATATGATATTTATCAGGGTTTATTTGTGTCCCTTTCGAGAATCATGCTCTCTGGCAAGGATTGCTAGCAATGACGATTAACACTGGGTGCTTCACGAATATGAGGTTATTTAAAAATTGTTTTTTTCCAAACAACTACCTGTATTTGAGGCACATTTTTTTTTCTGTTTTTTAAACTCTTAAATGTTCTTTTAATTCTTTATTACATATCTTGTTTTCTTTCACACATTTCATATTTTCTCGCACATATCTCATATAATCTCGTACACAATCTCGTACACAATCTCGTAAACACTCTCACTGTGTTTCACTTTCCTCATTTCCTCGCTGTTTTCATATCTCATTTTTCTTTCTGTCTTTTTATTTTTTTCGTTTCCACATTTCATTGAATGTATCTGGTTTTTTTTCCTTTTAATATATTGAATAGATTTCGCTTTCAACCATTTTCAGTTTTTCAATTCTCAATTCATCAGCCTCTCTTTTTCAATTCTCAATTCATCAGCCTCTCCTCTTTTTTTCACTCTTTTTGTTGTCTTCTTTTGAATTTCCACTTTATTATACTCTCACATTTTCCGTTCAACTGTCTTTCTCAATTATGTTTACATCCATTCCTATTCATTATTCTTTGTTCGTTTGTTTGTTAGTTTCTTTCTTTCTTTCTCTATTCCTGCAGTTTCTTTCAGCTACTTGGACAGAGTTTAACATAGATAGATAGATAGATAGATAGATAGATAGATAGATAATTTTCCTTTCTTATCGTTCTATGTTAGAAAATACTGAACAGCAAAAGATTCTCTGTTCAATATTTTTCTTTTTTTTTCACATGTCTTCTCGTCTCTCTTACTTTATCTCCCTATTTAGAAATGACATTCTTTATCACCCTAATATCTTGTTCATTTACTTTCTTTTTATTACGTTTCTATCAATTCATCCTAAACAAAATTAAATATTTTTCTTCCTCGTTTTTCTTTGCCTTTCTTTTTCCTTTTATCCTCCTTGTCTTTATTTGCCTTTCTTTTTCCTTTTATCCTCCTCGTTTTTCTTTGCCTTTCTTTTTCCTTTTATCCTCCTTGTCTTTATTTGCCTTTCTTTTTCCTTTTATCCTCCTCGTTTTTTTCTTTGCCTTTCTTTTTCCTTTTATCCTCCTCGTTTTTCTTTGCCTTTCTTTTTCCTTTTATCCTCCTTGTCTGTATTTGCCTTTCTTTTTCCTTTTATCCTCCTCGTTTTTCTTTGCCTTTCTTTTTCCTTTTATCCTCCTCGTTTTTCTTTGCCTTTCTTTTTCCTTTTATCCTCCTTGTCTTTATTTGCCTTTCTTTTTCCTTTTATCCTCCTCGTTTTTCTTTGCCTTTCTTTTTCCTTTTATCCTCCTCGTTTTTCTTTGCCTTTCTTTTTCCTTTTATCCTCCTTGTCTTTATTGCCTTTCTTTTCCTTTTATCCTCCTTGTCTTTATTTGCCTTTCTTTTCCTTTTATCCTCCTCGTTTTTCTTTGTCTTTCTTTTTCCTTTTATCCTCCTCGTTTTCTTTGCCTTTCTTTTCCTTTTATCCTCCTTGTCTTTATTTGCCTTTCTTTTCCTTTTTATCCTCCTCGTCTTTCTTTGCCTTTCTTTTTTCCTTTTATCCTCCTCGTTTTTCTTTGCCTTTCTTTTCCTTTTATCCTCCTCGTTTTTCTTTGCCTTTCTTTTCCTTTTATCCTCCTTGTCTTTATTTGCCCTTTCTTTTCCTTTTATCCTCCTCGTTTTTCTTTGCCTTTCTTTTCCTTTTATCCTCCTCGTTTTCTTTGCCTTTCTTTTCCTTTTATCCTCCTTGTCTTTATTTGCCTTTCTTTTTCCTTTTATCCTCCTCGTCTTTATTTGCCTTTCTTTTTCTCTATTTCTTTTCAATTCCTTCCCCTTTTATGTCCTATATATCTCCACAGCAACCATCTATTACTTCCTTTCTTTCGTTTTTATCTAACATCCCTTTCTTATCATTTATAGTCTCCTTTTTCGTGATTTCCCTCTATTTTCCGTGTTTTTTTTTTACCCATTCTCTATCTGTTTCTCGAAAAAGAAAAAAAATCACTGCAAAAAACGTGAGTGGTTAAGAAAGACGAGAGCCGTGGGATGATATACAACTCGTCAATGAAATAACGTCTGCAAAGCCGGAGGATTAACCAATGTTTGAGACGGGGTCAAATCGAACGAACAAACGGAAAAAGGAAAAGAAGCTACAAAGAGGAAACGAATGCGCGAACATAGTTGCCCGTCCGGCCCGTTGCTACATATATCACGTGACGTCAAGCCATGGCTGTGGAGGCTGAAGTTAGGCAGATGCCTTCCGGCTGACTTTTATCTATAAACGATTGATCGATCTGGTCATCGATCGGCTAGTTGGTCAAAAGATCTTGACGTCCATTACCAAAAGATTTAAGCAAAGGCATTTATCATTTTTGGCAGAGTGGTGAGCGGACATCGGGGTCGAGAGGAGAAGACGACGGTTCTTCAGCGAGCTTTCTTCATGATCAGCGTTTGCATAACTTCGGGTCGAAATGCCAATTACTACTAAATCACCTAAGTTAAGCAAGGTTATGTGTTGCCTATTCTATCGGGTAACTGAGAAATTTATGAATTAAATATACATATATATATATATATATATATATATATATATATATATATAGGTTGGTTTTCAATAATTTTCAACCTTACAATGCCGACCCAATTTATATCCAGCCTAGCTCTAATCACCCACCGTCTGTAATTTAACATATTCCATCATCGGTTGAATGATGGATTAATCAACGCTCCTCTAGCAAAGAGATATTTGAAAAATATAAAGCAGTTTATGATAACGTTCTTAGGGATTGTGGGTTCAGATCTTCTTAAATTAGATTTGTAGAATATTATGTTTGTTCCAGAAAGAAAAACAGAAACAGGAAGATCATATGGTATACTCCCCCATTCAATCAATTAATTCATACTAAATTGGGACATAATTTTTTCAAATTAATTGATAAACATTTTCCTAAAAATAATTCTTTATGTAAAATATTCAATCGGAACACTCTAAAACTTAGTTATAGTTGTACTAATAATTTAGAGAAAATAATTAAATTGCATGACAACAAAATATTGAATTTATATAACAATAACAACCTTAATGCTAACGCTGAACTTAATTTATCCCGTATAAATACACTTTGTAGTTGTAGAAATCCAGACCAATGTTCTTTATCTGACAAGTGCTTAACTAAATCCCTTGTGTATATGTGTTCTATTTCATTAGTAGAAAATCCAAGGGTTTCTAAAATATATATATTGGAAGTACAATGAATCAATTTAAAAAGTGTTTCTATAACTTCTATGACTTCACTTTCTAAATATT